CAGCAGCCGGGGCGCTCCCCTTCCTGCTCCCCAGGACCCCCCAGAGCTCCCGGGGGCGGCACGTCCCAGCCCAGCGCAGGGGAAGCCCACCAGGCGGGAGCCAGGGTCACCCCTTGGAGGAAGCGAGGCGCTTTGGCTCCAGCAAGCACTCGAGCCCACCACGCAAACGCTTTGAAACCCATTTTTATTTAAATAAGCCTTTAAATACATTACATGAGACATGAAAAAGGAAACCAGGCATCTGTTACTTCCCAGGACACACGAGCTCCACGCTGCCCTACAGGGACGCTCGTTACATTAGTCCAGGACCGATCCCTTGTCACAAGTTCAACCCACGGTGCCGGTTCTGCCCACCCGGGGCTCGGGGGGCACCAGCCCCCGCCGGGCCTGAGCTGCAGCCATCCAGCCATGGAGTCCCTCTTCAGTCACTTCTCTTGTTCCAGGTCAGGCTTCCCCAGATCCCGCTGCCACCGGGAGCCAGCGCTGCCCCGCGGGAAGGCACCGCCGCCCCGCACCATGTCGCGCCCGTGGGAGGCGCCGGGGAGTCACCATCCGCCGGGGTGGGAGAGCGGCTGGACGGAGGAGCGATGCGGCCGGCCTCTGCACTGACAGCCCGAGTCCCGTGGCTCAGCTTGGAGGGTCTGGTTACTTCTGGCTTCAGGCTGGACCGTGCCCAACGCCCGATCTACCTCTGTGAAATGAGGGACAGCCAGACGAGATAGCATGGGCTCGTGTCAGTTTATTACATCACGGAATTACACTAGTCCAGACTGAACAGTGGACCCAAGATCGTTACATTACACAAACCGGCTGGTTTTAAACTTATGACAAGGGACAGACGGGGATCTCATGGTGAGGAAATCTTGCATAAAGCTCCAGTGACCCACAGGCACTTAAAACCCATGGACTTTCAGCTGGTCGTCTTTAGCCAGTCCAATCTGCAAGAAAGAAAACGCGCTTCAGAGCGCACCGAAGCAGCGGCCTCTGCGCACACCCGTGGGCCGCGGAGCTGCCAGACCCCCACCCCGCTGGAGAGCGGAACGAAGCGCCCGGGACGGCAAAGCCCTCCTGGATGGCGCTTCCCTCAGCGAGTTTCACGCACAGAACGAGCCCCCTCCCCCAGCCCGCTCTGCTGACGCTGGGGAACCGGGACCCGCGGGCTGTCACCCCCCCGGGGCTCCCGCCCGGCGCGGGGATCGCAAGGGGCCGCCCCACCGACCTCCACGAGGAACTGGCAGATGTTCTTGCGCTGGTCGCCCTGCAGCTGGATCACTTCTCCATACTCGGGGTGCTCGATCACAGTACCATTGCAGGCGAATTTCTGCAACGACCGGCAAAAGCCCCCTCTCAGCCCCGCGGACGGGCCAAAC